GAAAGTCCGTTGCTCAAGTCATGTAACGGCCAAACAGATAGTCCGTTATTCGAGGCGTACGTTATACGAGGCACCACTGTATATTTATTTAGCGAAATGTCCAAAAAGTTGGCATTTATAGGATTTTAAAACCTCAAAATAATCACGGACTAAACAACTTTATATAATCTATATATAATCTGCCTAAAAGTAAAATTTGCTTTCGTAGCTTGGGGCTGACCTCAACAACCTAATTTACAAGTGTAACTCTCTTCCGTTTAACACGATATAAAAACTTGAAATCACGACTAAAGCTGCTAAGATCTATATTCAATGTGTAAAATAAATCCACATTTAGATTAAATACTATTTTAACTAACTCTCCAGGTTCTAAAATTTTAGGCACATCTACAATTAAAATACAAAGTCTTTTTTTTTTTGTTTTAAAACACTAGTACTCAACTTTGTTTTTGCTAACCTATCATGACTACAAACTCTTTCCTTGTTTTTATTTGTAGCTACACCCACTAACAAGCTATTATTATGTGTCTTCTTCACAATTTTAGTCTAATCTTATCTTCTAATAAATCAATAGCAGATAGAAACTTATGCTTTATCTCCTCAGCATCTTGGTCCGATGTTCCCTTAACAACCACAACACGTTCTGCTTCCTAAATTGATTGCTGAATACTAATCCTACTAGCCATTTCTGCATATATACTTACTCTGGACCGACCTACCCGAGGCCGCTCTTTCGAGACTTTCAACTCTACCCTTGAATTGCTCATTTTCCATCACTAATGAATGCACAACAGCAGTGACCTCACTAAAAAGTTCCATTACTTTCTGTGCCATTACTGCTGTTATTCTATTTATGTCTGAACAAATTTTTTGAAATATATTTATATTTATTTATTTAGCTATCTATTTAACTTTGTCAAACCCTTGTAAGATTCAAGATACATAGAACCAATATGACTAAAAGTTTGGATTAATTGATTCAAATTAAATTTATAAATCTTCATTCATAAATTTTGAATCACTATATCACTATTGACAAGACTATGTCTTGTTTATAAAATCGTACTGCTGGTTTATGTTACCAGCTTAAAGGTATGAAAAAGTGCATATAGAGAGTTGATATTTCGCACAGAGTATTAGGTGCCCGAATCATTTGCGCATAAAAAAATCCAGATTTGTAGGTAGTCAGGGGACTGAGAACCGAGTCAAAATAAAATCCAAAATGTCAACCCTCTTCTACAAACAGGCAAAACAGGCACCTCACCCCACCGAAATCAGGCGAGGGAGAGTACCACTCACAGTCATTCTAAGAAGAAAACTCTGATGTTAGGACTGAACATGTAGTTACTTCTATGTTAAATAAAATTTGTAATCTAATTTTGTAAATTTGGGAGTGCTTGAAATATGACATTAAAACAGGGTGTCATTACAAGTAGGTTTTTTAACATTATCTAGTATGGTAAAATTGTGGAACCGATAAAAATTTGACGTTATATTAGGGTTAAAATGTATATTGTCTGTGTAAAATAAAGAAATAATTTCAGACGATCCAATAGCCACAATTATTTTTTTCAAAAATGTAAAATTTTCGTTACGCATTGACAAAAATTCAACCCGGGCAGACACGCAATGGAGAGAAATTTCGAAATTGGATAGGTTAATTTCATCGAAAAATGCATCGTGGACGACCTCGTGGTCGTGGCCAGCAAAGTTTGAACAATCGCGCCAAAAAGCAGCAATATCAAAGAAGATTGAAGAATGAGAACAAGACCCGCCTTGAGCGTCAAAGTGATTCCGTTTAGTAGTGAGTCTCCGAGACATAGTCTTGTCCCAAATACGGTTTTGCTGTTTTACCTGTATATTTTATTTAATTTCTATAATATTTCTTTATATTCATAACTAAATTGCTAATGCTTTAGTTGATAAGTGCACTACAAATATAAATTATATCACTGGAACAATGTAATTTACTATATATAATATAACATATAATTGTAATTACAGTAGTACAGTACCTCAGGATACGAACGCTTCAACATACAAAATTTTCATGATATGACATAAATTTGAACATATTTTTGCTCCACGGTACAAACAAAAAATCACCGTATGACGTTACATTCGTTCGCGTCACCACCACCATGATCACGTGTTCCTTCTGTTCATCGGTCTCAGTTTGCGTGTTTGCTTCATCGTGGAAGGATCTCGCTCAGTAGAGGAAATCTTGAAGTATTATCAGAAAGTGACTGATTTTATTGAAAAGAAACACCCCAAAAGAGTTCACATTGGCTGTATTGCTGCTCAGTTTAATGACATTTGCCTAAGTCATTTAAAAAATATTTTAAAAAGTAGGCAAAGCCAAACCTCTTTAAATAGATATTTTACCAAGCAACTTCTATCCAGTGAAAGTGCTGGTGGAAGTAAAGGAAAGAGAGCAAAAAGCAATGAATAAAAAATTTTTAAAAATGTATAAAACAGAAAAGATAAAAAAATTAGTGTTAAGTTATTTTTAAGTTATTGTTACATTACGTTATGTAAGTTAAGTTTTAATATCATTTCCCTTCTTTTCCTCCTCCTCCTTTACCAGTTTGCACTTTCACTGTTGTCTATCCTCAAAACTAAAGTGCAAATCAAACTACATTTTTTTTAAGTGAATTATTATTTTATTATGGTTATTTTTACGTTTACAACTACAAAATGCATTTTTCAGTGTTTTCTTTACCAAAGTTTTTTTTTCAATGTGCTTCTTAGCTTTAATTTGAGTGTGTTTTTCATGTTAGAATGGATTATTTGGTTTTACATGTAATCATATGGGAAAAATGATTCACCTTACAACATTTTCATGATATGATCTCAGTTTAGAAACGGATTAATTTCGTATTCTGAAATACTACTGTACACACAAATGAAGCATATAAATATATATGCCTACCCTGCAAGGGCTTCTTTTTAAGAAAGTTGTCACAGAGTGCCAAATCAGGCAAATAGGAAAATTTGGTTAATTTCAAAGTCCAATTAGAATGCTACCACAACTATGGCATGAGCAGAACAGACTGGTGCATATTATGCAAAACTTTCTTGAGTAATGCATGTCCTGTTTACTTCAATTTTGTCTAATTGAAAACTCATGATCACATTTCATCTAAAACACCTACTTGTATGTTTAAAAAAGATGAAATGATGCTAAAAATACTTTTTTTCTCTTCATTTCTTTTAATGACATGATTAGTAAAACACAGGTAATTTATTACACAAA